CGAAATCTCGGTAGAACAGCGTAATTGGCCAATGGACTTTCCGTATGCAAAATGAACATGATGAACAGTGTTAACAGATATAGTAGACATAATCAGGAAGATAGTATACGCGTCAATCAAATATATCTAGAATAATAGCCGAAAGATACATGTTATATTTACTATTGACGTCAATATCACAGCCATAAAACTTTTTAAAGGTTTTTGTAAGTTTAGTGGACAAGAAAGTCTTCATTCAACTCTCCTTTGTACAATATGAATGCAAGATGTAAAATGTAAAATTTCAAGTTTACACAACCTTGATTGGTCTTATTCATCACAGTATATGAATATCTATTGAACAAGGGTTCAGTCCATGTAGCCAGACCCCAATTTGTGACATCTGATTGCAAAAAGGAATAAATAGTAAGATCTGTGTTTTAATCAGATAGTTGTCGGGTGTTTATACCGTTTGAAGGGTTTAGCTATGAGGCTATTTTCAGTACGTATTTTACCAACCTTAAAACATTTATTGCTTTCAAGATCCAAAGCATGCTTGGAACAGGGACTCATTCATGCAATTAAATATAGTATTCATATGACACGTGTTAATACTAACAGTCTAATCAAAGAGTCCAGATTTGTCAACTTCATATAGTTCACGTTGATATTTCGGATCAACACGAAGATAGCGACAGCTTAGAATCTTCTCAAAGTCTTCTTTAGTGGAAGCGTCAAATGACACTGCTTTCGGTTCATACCCAAGTTCAATCTTTTTACTCTTTTTCTTGATCCTCTTTTTTCTTTCCACTTTCCTTCCAGCCACTGTTCTGGCACTAGTCGACCTTAATGGGCTAGTTGACGGCCGAACCAAACGCCTATCATAAAAAGTGGTAGCTTTATTCTGGTCGGATCGTTTTGTCAGCAATCGCCTTTCCAGCTGTTCCACGTTATCTTGGAAGATAATGTTCGATTTATGCGCGTTTCGGATTAGATCCGCAAATATCAAACTGTTGTTCTGGGCAACATTTGTTGCAGAATAATGCACTTCCACCCGCTTAAGACCTCTTTTGAGTGGCATGAGCGCTTTGCCAGTTTGAGTAAGAGAACTTCCATTTCCTTTTAGGAATTGGCAGGACTTCTCGAAACCTGGGTCGTAAATTGCGCTTTCCCTCCGCACCTTCTCACCATTTACGATCAAACTGCTGGACCGCGAATAAAGTGTACGGATCGGCTTACTTTCTGATATCTGCTTAGTATCTGCACTGACTGCAGCTGTTCCTTCATTTTTGATGACCGAACTTATTGCAGGAATTGTCTTCTTGGATGTTGATGAATGCACTTCGCTTGAGCACTGTGGGGATGCTGATTTTGTCGGCACATCTTCACATATATCAACCATTTGTAACGATAGATCCGATAAGTTAATACTAACTCTACCTTTTGGCTTTGTCTTTTCCATCATCATGTACACATACTCTGGTTGATTTTTTATGTGTTCCGCTGAAAACTTCCTAGCCGCCATCCTTCGCGAAAAATCAATCTTATGCTGATCGTTCTGTTTTCGGGACAGAAAGCTTATAGTTAGTAAAAACGTCTTACTATGCTAGATATTAGTTATAAACTGACTTATTAAATGAACTACTTAGTGGTATATTAGCGCCTGTTTCACATTTGATAATATCACCATAAGTATCCGTGTTAATGGCGTCATAAACCTGAAAAACTGTGAACACGTTGTTTGTCACATTTATTGTCTTCTTATTTATTATATACAAACTGTTATACAGATTTAATGGTAGCGCATTGGATAGTTATCGTTCTTCAATTCAATTAAAATTTCATTTCAGTTTTAATGATTAGTTTGACTACAGTTCACGAACATCATACTCCTTGCAGTGTTTCATTTGATTGTACCTATTCCCACTTAATACTGTTGTAAAGGAAGCAAATTTCTGTTCCAAATTATGACTAGTCAATAGTCCGATTAACAACCAATAGCTAACTGCGTAATAAATATCATTACCATTAAACAGAGCACCAATTTGGACCAAATATGTTTACATAACGTTACGTCATGGCTCACAATTTTATTATGCTCAATTAACCAGTGCATAGCAGAATATTGCAGAAAAACTAATTGCGTGACCAAAGAGGCTATCAAAACGAATACAATGTAAACAATACTGTTTGGAGCCGAACAATACTTTCGCTGTTTTTAATACCGTAAATCACTGTCCAAAGTCTTAGGGAAGACCCCAGATTAAACGAAGGGATGTCATGTTGCTGTACTTGGGATAGATTTGATTGAACGGGAAGAATAGACACACTCCCTCAAAAGGTCAGAAGCCAATCCAGCAATGGTCAGAGAGGGATTTCTCGGGCCATTGCTTCAGGAATATAATAAACATAGTTGACAGCTTTATGGGTCCGCTGTTTAAGATAATTGTTGCATATGACAAAGCGCCGTGTAAATGGCTAGATTAGAGGCCAGACCAGGTCAAGTACCGAATACACGTTTGTTTAAAATGTTTTAGGCGGCCGCGGCATTTTAATATAACATACCAGTAGGCTACAGTGTCAGAACGTAATGTACAATATGATCTAAAAGGTATTCTAAGTTTAGATGGTAGTGTAGACGAATGAGTAAAGAAAACCTGGGTTAGGTGCCATCTTGACAACGATGTTCAGGGATATAAACGAGTTATTCTTAAGTAGCAGACTAAGGTTTTAACACAGAATAGCAGTTAAAACTGAGATGATCATAGCTTTCGTTAGGATTAATCGATTTAATACTGCTTTAGACAAAATAATTTTTGAAGTTTTGATAAGACATATTTTATAAGGTTACGAACTGAAAGTCCTTTTTTGCTCATGCCCTGACCCGTTGAGTATAGGAAACGAGGATGAAAAATCATGAGGAAATTCCTCGGCCAAAACCGGGATTGAAATATGACTTATGCAGTTATTCCCTTGACTGCGCATTTACACGGGACGAATACAGAAGTTAGATTGTGCATTATCTTAATTTGGAAATCACACGGATAGAAGTTACAAGTTTTGAATCTAATATGCCGTCATAGGCCTCGAGTAGTCTTGGAAAGTCCACAAACTCCAAACATATGTACATTTCATTATCTTGGTCTTAAGCCCCTGTCACACTGTTCCGAATAGGGCGAATATTCAAAACTTTTAGCGGGAACAAACTTATTGATCAATACGCTATATATGTAGGTAATACGTAAAGAATTCACCGTGTGAACGTTTCGCACGTTGGTTGTAGGTTGCTGCTCCGTTAAGGCTTCCATCTAACATGCATGACGTTAGACTACCGATACAGTACAGCTACAGTATTGGTAGCGTATTTCAGTCAGATATTCGTCATTCCTGCTCAGCTGGTCGTCAGTGTTGGGGTTGTTCAGCGAGTCCGGATTCGGCATCTTCTGGTCGTTCATCAACATAGAAATGGCCTGAAACGGCTTGCCATCGATCAGTACATCCGAGACAGAAGAAGATGGGAGTAGAAGAGAGTGTGACAGATCGGTGTGGACCAGGGCCTGAATCCAGAGGCGATGACAGCTCAGTTTATATGACCAGTTTCTCGTCTAGCTCCGTCGTGATGACCCAATATCATTCATATGATGAGATCCTGAGGGAATCCGCCATATAATCACCAACCAGTACACCTAGTTTCGAGAGTATCTTGACCGTAGTCTTAATATCACCTGGCCTCTCCGAAACCTTGCCTCTGGTAAAAGCATTATGCAGTTTGTACGGAGGGTCCCCCACAACACATTATATTTTTTCGCCCGCGTATCAAGCCATAATCGACGAGTACATGGGTGGGGTCATGATGTGACCGGCCGCATCCTTTGAATGTCGTGAGGTTTATTCGTTCGTTCGTGGGACCCAAAGTTAGCTTCGACCTAGAGTGATAATAGTGATATGAAATGAAATGAAATGAAATGGGGTTTAACGTCCTACTGTTTTGCTCCGAACTGGGCTAATGAAGACGGGCATACGCCATACAGTGTGCTATGAGGGAAATTTTGCCCGGGCAGCGGCACTACGGCCTACTCTTATATCGAATTGCAACTGTCAAAGGATCTTTTACGTGCACGCCAATGTGTACACGGGACCTCGGTTTTTCGTCCCATCCGAACGACTAGACAGCTGTCCTTGTCAGGCCCTCCGTCCTGCATCACTGACAAGGGGGAACCACGCCGGAAAATCTGAATGAACTTTCTCGGCCAATGCAGGGATCGAACACCCGACCTCCAGGCTAGCGAGCCAGCGTCTTACCCACTTAGCCACCGTGACCCCCTAATAGTGATATCGCAGTCGTGAGATTGCTGTCCGTTTCTACACTCGATATCATGGAACCGTGGATTGCTGCCCGTTTCTACACTCGATATCATGGAACCGTGGATGGGAAAGACCTACTATGAATACAAAGGCTTCTGCTTCTTAATAGATTATAAGGAGCCATGCTGGAACTGGGACTCTAGTGGAACTGGTTTATATATGTTCAATGTCTGGGATGTCTCGCTGACGTGTGACGACGGGGATTTTGATAACGTATTCTTGAGTCAATGGAGACACATCATGGTATATGTTGGGTATTTGTTACATACACTCTAGACGCTACGCCCTGCACTTATTTTGAAAAATAAATTCCGTATGCTAGGCATAAGTTAACTCTATTCTCTAACTCTATGTAACACGGACCTTAGGGTGTCGCACAGACTCTGCCGTTCCAGTGTTCTTTGCGATATCATCTTGTGGTATTATGTACATCAACTGATGATCAGTTATAACGGAGGTGCTATAATACATGAACATTAAAACTAAAAAAATGTTTGATTCTCAGAGAAGAGTTACATTACCTAATTTAGCAGTATGAAAAATCTGTCGAGCATTATATATTATATAAATTCAGGGGGTTTGTTTTTTTTGTTTTAATTTTAAAAAAAAGAATTAAGAAACAAAATAGATACGGTCATATTTTATTAAACGTCCCCACGAAAAATAAATCCTATTGAATCTGGGCAATCTGAAGACCGGTGCCACATTTACAAAGAGGGCATCCATTTTCATCATGGGCAAAACCAGCACCATTAGGACACCACAGATCACACAAAGCCATATGGATATTGTTACATACTGAAAAATAATTTGAGATGTTTAATATGTGTATATGCTTCGGTAAATATGGATATAATTGCAAATAAAAGTCAATAATTATATTGATCACAGGATATGACAAATGTGACTATAGTATCTGGGGTTTAGTAGACAGACCAGAATCTGGCGTGTTGTGAACTAGAATTTAGGATAACGAAGATACCAAACTGGAATTATATGGGTTGTCGCAGGCTGATATCTGGGATATCGCAGACTAGACTAGAATCTGGTACGATTTGTAAACCGACTGGGGAATGGGGGCGTTTGGTTCCAAGCGAACGGGTACACAACGAGAACAAGTGTAAAACAATAAAAGGCCTCTACTTGTGTGTCCAAGACGAAATCTCGGGTGTAGAATCTAGGGTGCCCCAGACGAAATCCCAGGTGTTGCGGACTAGAATCGAGAGTGCTGCAGCAGTATATTGACTAGAATCTAGGCTGTCCCAGACTAACTTTCGGGTGTCGCGGACCAGGCTAGTATCTGGGGTGTAACATCTGGGATATCGCAGACTAGACTAGAATCTAGGAGGGGGGGGGGTCCAAGCGAACGGATACACAAAGGTCCCTACTTTTATGTCCCAAGATGATGTCAGTCTTTTGACAGGTGTGTCCACATCCATTTGAGGCACAGTGATAACCAGCTTTACAAGGTGAACCGAATTCGCCACTTAAAGAGCACATCTCCACACACGTACCAAACTGTAAAGCAGGAGCAGTCCATCCCACTGGAATATATAGTATTGAATGAATGTCATCTTGTTTTTAAAATATTGTCCGTCTTACGAAGTGGAAGAATCTGAAGACCACATGAACACATTTAAGGTAAACATAGATGAAATCTTAAAATGGATCATTAACATTTATATGCATATATTACCTAAAATTCAAGTCTTTTTAAACAATTCACAAAGCCACATATTCTCTTCGAGATAAACATCGACACCACATAACATAAGTCTTATTACCTGCTACAAAACAAACCAACACTATAACAGCAACTTTCATCTTGTATTCGTCTACTCTTATTTTAGAATAACGATTCTACTTTGTAAATATATAATGTAGGACAGTCTGTGAGATTTTACAACATGTAGATGAAGATAAAAAAGATAGCACGATTTGAAACAATTTGATTCAACTTAGGTGCGGTCATACTCTTCCTATCTATCACGAAATTGTCACATATTCATATTGACCACGTTTACAGGTAATCAAAATCTGTCGTCGCTACAATCTTGTCTCATCAGGACATACCATCTTGGATTTTTTTGAATAATAAAAGTTTAGGTTTTATCAAATAAGATGTGTTAATTTATGTGTTTGTGTGTGTGAGTGTGAGGGGGGGGGGTCTTTAATATTCAAAAACGTACGACGGGTGCCTCAAAAGTGTCTGAACTCACCCAATCATAATGCTAGAACAGTATCTCAGCATGTGCCTGATACGCAACACGTGAATTCCTATATATAGCTATCAAACAACGTGACCCTTTCATTTGCTCTCAAAATGGAGAAAACTCAATACAGGGCAATGATTAAATATGTATCTCCATTTGAAAGATTTAGCACCATAGCAAATTTATGATGACATGTTACAAACATTATGTGGCAATGCTCCTTGGTATAGTACAGGGGGGGATCAGCACTGAAGACAACCAAGGTCTGGCCGACCTTGTGAAGTGACGGTCTAACTAAAAAACCGCAGGATGTTGTATCATTCAATTTCAGGATGAATCGGCCAAAAAATGATATGAATTTAACAGCGATGTCTATGTCAAGTGAATTGCCCGTCTGATTTCATGTGGAGGCAGATCACCATTAATTTCCCAAATGACTTCAATGTCAATTCTGGTCTCTGTATCCGGCTCCAACTTTTCCTCAAACTTCCGTTATGTTGAACGCTTTTCACTACAGGCAGAGCATCAAATGGACATGTCTTTTCTCCAGATATTATATGTGGCTAACCAATGAAATTTTGAGATACATAAACTTAAAGTAGCATTGTAGAAACCTGTAACTATCCGCCGTACATATCACCGTAATCATATTCTTAAGTCTGGAATCTTTACTATTTACCAAAACCTGGCAGAACATGTTAATTTAACCCCTGCTCTTCCATTTTAAACCGAAACATCAAAACGGTAGTGTGCCTCCAGATTTAAAAAGATCCCTACGTTAAATAAGCAAATTGGAAACAATGGGCAAATATATATAAATTGTTTTAAAGTAACAAAGAATTTTTTAGAAAACACACCCTTCACGCCACTCTCTCCTGGAAAGCAAAGCCACGCCAAAAGTGAAATATTCGGATCGGACTCTCACCCATTATTTTTACACATATAACAAAAACAAAACCACTTAATTATTTGTTGTGGTATACACTAAACATTTATTGCAGATCAAATAATTATCCGATACACTAACAATGATAGTGATGGGCTGAGTTGTTACTGGTGGGCTTTCATTCGTCCATAAACTTCAAATTGATATTTAATACCATTTTCCTTGTGAATTTCGGGATCTCTGAAAAACAAACCACACACAGGATTGTCAGGCAACGAATATTCACCAAATGTCATAGAGGGGCTTTCACGTTTTCGGAAAGAAAGACAATAACTACACAAAAATTGATTCGGCATATAACCTTCTTTTCGATAAGCCCAAAGATTAAACAGGGGCAAAAACGATCGAGAAAAAAAAACAGTTAAAAAAATATATGACTTGTAAAACCCACTACAAGGTTTGGGTAACAACTCTCAATAAGTTTTCTGCATACGACATTAAAATAATGTGGCTCAATGAGTAAATCGTTAGTTCGCTATCCTGGAGGTCCCGTGTTCATTCCCGGTGTTCATTCCCGGAGATTCTTAAAATTTAAAATAAATCTAAAACAATTTGACGTATAGCTTCCACAGTAAGTACACTCCTACCATGAACGTCATTATGTCATTTTGAAACTATTGAATACAGGCTTACAGCTACATAATACGTGTCGTAATAATCGTCACAACAACCACGACATCGATTAAATATAATCAAAATCCATAATTACGTACTTGATGAGTTTAAACTGATGTTCAAATGGTGGAAAAGATGTATCTGTTTCAAATTCAGCAAACAAACGTGTTAAATGTAAATGCGTACAAAATGGATGTTCTATGGCGGACTAAAATGTATATCAAAAGCTTTGCATTAACACTATAAGAAAACCAGCAAACATGATACGATTCTAAAATTGACACTTATAAATAAAGTAAAATAAAGTAGAGTAATCTCAGTTTTGAAAAGTAACTTAGTTCGTGAATCCCACCCAGTTACCTCTTGGTAATAACGCAATCAAACTGTATAGTACCTTATAAACATCATGGCCACCCATAACCCAGATATCGTCCTCGGTTATATTACAATCTAAGGCATATTGGTGAGCATCTTCCAGTGATGAACAAGTATAATGCACATTGGTTGGTATCAGAGATTCTCTGAAAAAAATATGTCAGAAAGTGTGATCATAACGATATAAATGATAAAATACCATAGTTGTAAAACAAATGACGTAATCGAGCCATCGAATTTACATGGTTTACTTGCGTTTGGGGTGCAAAGCTACAAATATCGCCCACCTGTGTGATTTACTTGAGTTGTATTATCTGTACAAATAACGTCGAGCTGTACGTGTGATATACAAGGGTTGTATTGTAATAACTGTACAAATATTCTCGAGTTATACACGTGATTTTCATGGGTTGTATTGTAATAACTGTAGACATATCGTAATTTACTTGGGTTAAAATTGTATTGTTATCACCGTGTACATATCGTGATTTGCTTGGGTTGTATTGTAATTATGGTACAAATACAGTCGAGTGATAATGTGATTTAAATGGGTTGTATTTTTGTAACTGTGCAAAGACAGTCGAGTGATACATGCGATTTACAAGGGTTGTATTGCAGTGACTTTACTAAAGTAAAACATACATTATGCAAGAGGTAAATCTGCCTATTGCAGGTCTTTCTTTAGGCCTGAAGTGCTATCTAAATTATTAATTAGACATTAATTAACGTATCCAGACCATAATCAACTCTTGATGTCAACGCTAGCCTGCGATATTTACTGGATTACGATCAGATATGCTGCTCAACTTTCATTCATGATTTAATCATGAAATGGATAATCAAGACTATATTTTTTTTTTATCGTACCGACTTTAGTAACGATGATCGAGGCTAAGCCGAAAATGCAATCACTAAAATCTCGGTTCATTGTGGATCAATTTGAATGAAATTTTCAGCAAATTCCCTTTACATTATCTAGTTTTTAACTATTCTAATCTCCCATAATGTATCTTTAATACCATCGTGTTATACATGTGATTTAGATGTGATTTACATGAGTTGTATTGTAATAACTGTACACATAACGACCAGTGATACATGTGATTTACAAGGGTTGTAATGTAGTAACTGTTATACATTATGTGATTTAGATGGGTTGTTTTCAATAAAGATAAACAAAAAGGTCATCAAACTATGACACTGAAAATATATAAACAATGTTAAATTAAGCCAAATTGTACTTGCAATGCACGGAGTGTTTTTTGATTATAGGGGTCACGGTGGCTAAGTGGGTAAGGCGCTGGCTCGCTAGCCTGGAGGTCGGGTGTTCGATCCCTGCATTGGCCGAGAAAGTTCATCCGGATTTCCGGCGTGGTTCCCCCTTGTCAATGAGGGCCTGAAAAGGACAACTGTCTAGTCTTTCGGATGGGACAAAAAAAACGAGACCCCGTGTACAAATTGGCGTGCTCGTAAAAGATCCCTTGACAGTTGGAATTCGATAAAAGAGTAGGCAGTAGTGCCGCTGTCCGGGCAAAATTTCCCTCATAGCACACTGTATGGCGTATGCCCGTCTTCATTAGCCCAGTTCGGAGCAGTAAAACGTTAAACCCTATTTCATTTCATTATAATTTCATTTTGATTATAACGATATGCAAATAACACTAAAACACAACCGACGACCGGGTTACGACATTGCATAATACTTGGGTATAATGTTAATATCTATTTACATGGAAGTCAAATGCGTACAAGAATAAAATTGAAATAGTACTTACTTGGGTTTACTGGTTATAACGATATTGATGATACCCGGTGCCTTACTTTCATCTTCTTTAGTTGAGATCCACGTGAGTCTACCTTTAATATTGGCTGTACGTTGGTCTGTAAACATAAGAAAAAGGCATCTTTTATTACAACTTTAATTAGTCTCTATTATTAATCTCATCAATTTTAAGATTAGGCATTTACATAAGCATACATTCATATACATGACAATTTTTCTCTGAAACAGATAACCGTTCGCTCTACATATGCTATGGTCAATACTCCACTGCTAATATATACATAATTAAAGTCTTACCGATAGGTTGTAAACATACTATGTTATACTGATAGTTACATAGGTGTTGAGGGTGGGGGTGTCTAGTTGTACGATACCCCATGTGTTTATGCAAGCTATTTCTCATTATGGATCTTCTCAGGCTTGGGGGCACGGTGGCTACGTGGGTAAGACGCTGGCTCGCTAGCCTGAAGGTCGGGTGTTCGATCCCTGCATTGGCCGAGAAAGTACATCCAGAATTTCCTGCGTGGTTACCCCTTGTCCTTGGTGCAGGACGGAGGGTCTGACAAGGACAGCTGTCTAGTCGTTTGGATGGGACGAAAAACCGAGGTCCCGTGTACGCACATTGGCGTGTACGTAACAGATCCCTTGATAGTTGGAATTCGATGTAAGAGTAGGCCGTAGTGCCGCTGTTCGGGCAAAATTTCCCTCATAGCACACTGTATGGCATACGCCCTTCTTCATTAGCCCAGTTAAACCCCATTTCTTCTCTGGCTTCTACGGTTGTCTCGCACTCCTATAAAACCTTCTGTGGGCATTGACATACTATAGACCATGCATATAAATCCCGGAATACCTGTTTATCATCGCAAGTAGTACCCCCCCCCCCCACCACTCTCTCCTATTGTCAAGTCAAATCAAAAGTAACCTACCTTGATGTTTTGGAGCTACAAGTGTTCTGTAATATTTGTCATCGCCACTGTTTTAAACATAGAATAGATCAAAACATAAGTTTGTTACAGTTGAAATTATGATTAATATAATTTTGCGTCATTTCCCCTTGTCAGCCGTGCACGTAAACAAGAAAGAGAGAGAAATGGGGTTTAACGTCCACTCGACACAAACTAGTCATTTCGGGACTAACACATGGTTCAATTTTATTTCAACCATACGCTTGCGCGTAGGGATCTTTAGCAGTGGGAGGAAACCGGAGGAACCGGAGAAAACCTGAGAGGTTGGACAGGCGACCCTACTCCTTGTCACGTACAACCGGGGAATCGAAACCCCGCCAGTTGACTCAATGACAGACCGTATGATACAGCGCGCTTGCTACACATAAACAAACCCTTGACAGTTGGAATTCGATATAAGAATAGGCCGTAGCGCCGCTGTCCAGGCAAAATTCCCTCATAACACGTATTGCCAGTGTGTGTGTGTGTGGGTGTGTGTGTGTTTTTTTTTTTTTATATCAAAGTTCAGTATGTATCAACACAGTTGACTATGAATAGAAAAAAGACTACATTACAATATCCCCGATAGCTAAATATAGTAACACGTACACTAGCTACTTACGGAAGATATGGCCACGGAATTCCATTACTCATTCCAATACCTCGACTTTTGTCGCACATAGCAGCTACGATCTTCATAATCGTTGTTTACAGCCCTAAATGTCACCGGTCTATATATAAACTGAGAGAGTATAATGTGTATTAAAAGCATATTCATAATTATTTTCTACATGACGCTTTTCTATAAATCACAAACAAAACAACAATGCGACAACTCTTCCATAAGCCGCCATGACACAAAATCGATACATGTGATGACGTCGTTTCACGCTACTTTAACCAGTCCTGTAGGAAAGGACAGACGAAAAGAACAATCAATTTATTTGACCTAAATAAGTTATTGTTTCAAAAAGAATAAAAAATGACCTATATTATTATTTTAACTCATTACACATGTTTTATATCGAGAGGTGATATAAACCGAATATGTCACATAACAGTCAAAAAAGTAAATTCTTTACTATGGCGACGCCTTTAGAATCATTAGAAAAAGACAAACATTACACAAGAAAATCCACGTTCAAAATAGTATATGGGTCAAAATATTTTTTTTCTGTAAACTTGAGATGAAACTATAAAAGTGGGAATGTCTTAAGGAAAAAAAAGAAGATATTTTAGTAAACATAACTCCTGTTTATATGACTTGAAATACTACTTGGTTTTCTTAATGGTTTCATGAACGAATCGTGTTTTATGTTCTATAAAATTCAAATATGTTTATTATATGCCATATGAATGTGTATTTATGTTTATACACAAACAACATAGTCAATAAAACAATAACATTTTGCATTACTTGCTAAATATAATAGAATGATTGTGCGCAGACCCAAGCATTTTTTATGCTCAGTTCACTTGATTATCCTTTCGGGACTAACATATGGCTCAATTTTATTTCAATAATTCTCTTGCGCGTAGGAGTCTTATGCAGGAGTCTCTCTCCTTGTCACGCCACATAATGATCACTAGACCACCAAACTCCATGACTATCATTATTACCGCTGCTATGCAAATGCTACTTTCATTTGGGCTATCTCTTTTAACCTATAGTTTTAATGATTTTTTTTATCTAAATTCCTTAGATTGTTGAAATTTTTCTCTACACAGAAACACTAACTAGTGAAAACTGAAGGAAGTCAACAGAAAGATATTAAATTTAGAACAAAGAATAAAAGTTAATTTTTTACTGGTACAAACGGTTAAAGTATATAAAAATTCTTAAAGAATTTTAGCAAATTCATTATGCAAGAAGGCAAATTGTTTGAACACCACTCCTCTTTCGTATATTTTGCCAGTGAATAATTCTTGGTGGGCCTATTTTAAATACTATTGAATCTAAGCCGTAACAAATTTGATATTTCAACAAAACTTGCAAATTACGCATCGTTACCTTAATTTTGTAACAGCACCTTCCAATGTATTTTTCAGCGATATCACGTCAAAGGGCCTAAATCGCTAATATTTGTGACCTAGAAATTGGAAACAAATGGGTCGCAACGCATATAATAATGTAATATGAATGTATATAAACTGATTTACATTCAATCGTTTCTGTTTTTACTGTAATTTCTAACCAGTAATGTTCGGCGAAATACGCCAGAAGTCTCTATCGAATGGCAATCTCTAGCGTCTGGTTATTCCAGTATCCACCAATAGTCTTTATTGCGCATGTTCTCCGGATAAGAATATGGTGCCACCGTTTGACATGACTTGTTGAATATGTCTAGCCTCGTTCTCCGAGGTCCTTGTTACAAATGGCACTGAAACGCATTATGGTGTACGCGTTGTGTACCAATGGTAAATTGTTTATTTTGTCTTAAATATGGATATCAGAAGCCCATCATTTCTCGGTAAGATCACAACATCAATGTTGATTTAAATTGACAAAAAATTCATGCTTTCAATGTCGAAGATTTTGGATGATATCGAGTCAGAAACTTAGCTACTTTAAGTCTTTAAGAACAAACCGAAATTTCACCGTGACAAAGTGTGCTTGTCAAACCCTACGAAAATGTCACCACCTAACCGAAATAGTCCGAAATACCCCCACCCCCACCACACCCCAACAGGGTAGGGGAATTCTTTCGGGTACGATAGTAGGGCAAATTAAAGTCACATATTTTCTACTTAAAGATTAAGAAGTTCACAGCGGTTTAGGAAACTTTAGGTTCGTATAGGGGCTGTGTGGTTGAAAACTCTGTGCACGTTGAACCATGGGGATTGCTAGCCTAACATCGCAAAATTTCTCCGGAAAATCTGTCTTCCTCACACTGTGTCGGATTACTGGACGTATTACTGCAGATGGACGCTCATATTATATAATGAGCGCGAAAATAGGTTGCTACATGCGTGTATTTAGATATGTAAATACCAATAATATTGTTGAAGGCAAGTACATAGATGTAATATAGTCAGTTTGGTGCAGAAGTTTGGTGACACCCGAGCCAAATTCCTTTTTTGTGTGCCCCTGAGAATTGAATACAGGACCTAGTACTAAGACATAAGAGAAAGGAAGATGACTTTAAGGTAATTCTACAGCGCTCAAAGATTCACTGCTACTTAATATTATCTTAACCAGTACTTTAGTCCCCTCTTCCCCTCCACCCCCTCCACGCCACCAATCACAGGATAAGTTGGACAAATAAAAAAACTATTAAAATAATATATTTTATACTTTTATGAGTATCATAATAACATGACCAACATTTCTCAAAATACATTTCAGCAAAAACAAGTTTTACTTACAAATACATATATGGTATTATTTCTCTTCTATGATACTATATGATTTAGCAAACAACGTCTTTAATTAATCTCAATCCACACCTCAATACACACAGGAAAAGAGATTCTTTTCTAGGACACAAAAATATGAGAATTCTGTAAAACAAGGGAAATAACTCTGATTTTGGAAATCCGATAGCCGGTATCAGTTAAATATGGTACAGTGCTCCTCATCATAGGCGTACGAGCCAGGGGGGCAGCTGCCCCCTAACTTTCGGGTAAGCTGACTTTTCGGGCAGACGGGTAAAGTGAAAAAAAATTTATTTCATCTACTTGGCAAATAAAGTGCCCAAAATCTAATAAAACACTAATTTTACGCGTTTGCGGCCGTCAAATATTACAAGGTCAGCTCCACTTCTTCGCCTCTCGAAGAAAACTGGCGCCGCTGTCTGTAAACCTGAAATTTTTTCGGGCATTTCTAGTTTTGCTTCCCTGTCACCAAGCCCTAATAAAACACTAATTTTACTTATCTTTTAATTGAATACCACGAATTTGTAGAGTTGACTATGGATTAAAACATTTGTCTGGAGCCACTCTACTTTGTGCGACATTTTTCAGGCATCGATTATTATTTGTGAATGCCGCTGCAACAGTCTGATTGAATGGTTGGAATTTAAAATGGGATTTAGGTTACAAAACCATTGGATACTGTTGGAGTTGCTTACACAGGCTAGAATAGCAGAAAACGCATATGCGGTGGTTAAATTTTCAAAATTTTCTCCGGGAGGGTGAGGCCTCCATACTCCGCGGCGATTGATTGTTTGTTTGGAATTTGGGTCAGCCAGGTGGGCTATATTGGACCAAATTGAAGTTGCTGTATTCACAGGCTGGAATAACAGGAAAACGCGTTTGCGGCAGTTAAATTTTCAAAATTTTCTGCTAGCGGTCCCGTCTTCGTGGACTGTAAACGATTGATCTTTTGATTGGAATTCGAGTCAGACATCTTAATTAGGCTATAATAGACCACTTTGTTCAAGGACTGAAATAGCAGGAAAACGTGTTTGCAGCCGTCAAATATTCCAAAATTTTCTTTTGGGGTGGGGGTGGGGGAGTCCATGCAAGGTAATCTCTGCTTCTTCGCCTCTCGAGGAAGACCGACGCCGCTGTCTGTAAACCCGAATTTTTTTCGGGCATTTCGGGTTCTGCCCCCCTAACTGTCACCGAGCCCGTACGCCTATGCTCCTCATAGTTGAATACAGTATCGCTCGGTGCTATAATCCACAGTCCACGCATTAAACACAGTCTACGATCTGTTACATTGACTACAACCTTACACTGAGAATGTTAATATAATAAGATTGTGAGGAGTTATTTGTGATTCGTCGAAAATCCAAACGGGAACGTGATTCAAGTTAATTCGAATACAAATGGAAAATTAAATATATTTAATTATTTAGTGAACCTACTTTACGATACATAATTAATATTCAAACATATTTAATCAGGGCTCTAACTAGAAATGTCATACTTGGCAGTGGTATGCAACTGTGCTATATCGTCTCTTTTTTTAACTAAAGGATAAAATAAAAGTAGAGTGCCGCCTATTAGTGGTGTAATACCACAGATATAAATAACTATATTGAATGTACCAGTTATATCTCTTAGCCAGCCTGAAAAATATAATATAAATCCAATGTTAATTGTCTAAGAACCATTCCCTTTCTAGTCATTCGATAAATCAATCCTAGTTACTTATTGATGACTTAATGCTGGTTCCCTTGACAGCCAATGAGAACAGACTACTGGTTATCAACCAGCATTAAAGTCCATGTGGTAGGTAAAAAGAATTTAGTAAACAAGTATGGGCGTAGGCCTACTGTACTGACCAGGCAGCGAGCATGATGTCCCCACAGACATCATGGAATTGGGACACGTCTGAGAAATAAACCCGCCAATTATCATATCGATAGTACTTGAATCGGCGTCGCTTCCAAGAAGAACAACGAAATGAGTAGCGCATGGAAACATGTTTCTGTTCTACATGGTAACATGCCTAATACACACAATCGTTACTAGTTTTCACGAAATATAAATTTCCTTTTCAGTCTTCTTGTCAAATTATTTGAGTTAGTAAGCCTACTACCAAAACGAAATACAGTTGAACTCTCTTTTACAAAAAATATTGCTACTCACCTAAAAATGGCTGACCAGCCGCCGCCCCACAACCCTGTATCAGTAAAATTAAGGCTAAAACCTTTGGCATTAATTTTAGTCCCACAAAGTCAATAAGAACAACTGACATATAGTTTACATAAACACCACCGAAAAATCCATAAAATCCTGAGAGCACTGACATGACGATAAAATTGTTAACTGGTAAAAAACAGAGAATAACTACCCCAATTAGTATGACGCTGACGGCTTTTATTTTATAACGTTGTATCACGTTGAGGTCGCCGAGGATACCGCTACCAATACGACCCAAAAGATCACCAATACCGCAAATCGATAACATTAGTGCCTTTTCATATTTGTCGATACCTTTATCCTTGACGTGAAGAGGTAAAAATAAAATGAAATTAAAATAACCGAAAAAAGCCAGAAAACTACATATAACATAAAATATTGAAACCGGTCTTCGTAATACGCTAAAATCAAATAATTTTCTACAAATATTCTTTCTTTCGGAAGCATCGTGTACGTGTCCATTTTGGATCACACCCGTGTCATTAAGTTGTGTGGCCTCAGTGTCTTCTTCTAAGAATATGCTGCCCGTGCTAGCCATGAGTGCTCGTAATTTTACGTCATAATTTACTTCTTCTTTTGATATAGATTTAATAAAGGTCTGTAGTTCAGTCTCTTCCTGTATTTTACTGTCATTTTCACAAGATTTCGTTTCATAACCTTTGATTGGTCGGAACAGTGAACCAAATAATGTGACATGGAAATAGAGCGCTCCGAGCAGAAGTAGCGTGCCATTTAAACCATACGTATCCAGTAAGAACTGAATAAATGGCGGTAAAGTAAATTGTCCTATACTAGCACCCGCTAAAGCCAAACCATTGGCCAATGTCCGCCTTTTCTTGAAGTAATTTCCTACCATGACTAGGCTATTTCCATATAAGGTGGCGTTTCCTATACCTACAATTACAAGAAAAAAATGACAAAACACTGATACAATGAGCAGTATTCATTTCCTAAACACAAGATAAGACGGCCTTAAAGGACAATATTGGTGTCAGTCATTATCACATGTGATAGAACTGGTTAAACACATTCCAAATATAATTTTAACACAGAGATCATTTGGAACGTGTTTAACCAGTTCTATCACATATGTGATAATGACTGACACCAATGTTGTCCTTTAAATCAAATACGTCGATTTTAGACCGAATTCATCGGAAGGAATTGGATCGGTTTTTAAATTAATTCCCGCCAATTTTCACAATATTTGAACGACGCCATTTTCAGAACTTCTTTCTAAAAGCGGCAAGTTATCCTAATAAGTAAACTGGTAGCCGCATCACAATTCTATGGGTGTCGCTACATATCACTTACCGTCATACAGCCAAGGTTACATGCAGGGTACCGGAGTCTGTCGAATGACCTTATAACTAAACTTCGGCATATATAGATATGATTATCCAGCCATATGACGGTTTGTATTACTGCAAACGTATCACATATTATCTTCCGCAAATTGTACACAGAGAGAGAGAGAGAGAGAGAGAGAGAGAGGGAGCTTAACGTCCACTCGACACAAACTAGGTGATTTCGGGACTAACGCATGGTTCAATTTTATTTCAATTATTCGCTTGCGGGTAGGGAAATTGTACAGAACTAGGATAAAGATTACCTTAAGTCTTTCACACATATTTAACCTCATTTGTTTTTATCTAAGGTAAATTTACTGGTAAATGAATTCGAACTGAGGAGACAATGAAGACTTACCAAAACCTATGCCCAGAAATCCTATTACAAATCCTATGCTGAGTAATAAACTGCTGATTGACATACCAATAAATGCTACTACCCCTCCAATCATTACCACTGCTCGAGCTGTAAAATGCTCGCCAAGGATGATACTAATTGGAGCTGAAAAATTATAATATGAAAACTTATTTCATTGCATGTAGTATCACAGGTTTTTTTTTTTGGTCGATGGATTTGAAGTCGACCATCCGCTTTCTGAACAAGTCGGTTACGTATTATTTTTTTTTCAGACAGATATGTATCGAAAATAAAACGAAACGAAATATGTGTATAATTCAGATTTCTCTTCATAGAAAGTAAAAAGATCAAAACAATATAGTTTGAACTTTACAATTAGTTTAATATTTGCTTTATTATTTTCCTCAACACAAAGCCCCCCCCCCCCCACACACACACACACACCCCTCTTCCCAAAATATCCCCTCGACCGGTATTTTAATATATATTCTTGTATTCTAGATAACTGGTATCCGATTTCATCGTTAGTAATTGCCAACTTACCAGCGAAGGCATAAATTATTCCGGAAACGCTGATTACCATTGTCGCCAAGGCTGTAGATATATGAAACGTCTCTATAAATTGTTCTACTAGAATACCAAATGATTTCGCCAGTCCAACCATGCAGAAAATATTCATGAAACTGGCTGGAAATAAAAACATTTCCTATTGTAAGAACCAAGGCTATTAATTCAGAAATCAAGAAACTAGACACATTACTGACAGATTATTTTGAGTGGAAGTTCGGTTATGTTAACATTAACGTCAGGAGTCAGCATTGCCTGTTTCTGAATACAATTTCAAATAAAATAAAATCACTGTTTATTTTAAAATATATATAACTATATTATTATTAAATCATGAGATAAATTGCAATATGATATCTTACCACCAACTATTACCCATGCCCAACCCCTGTCAATGGGCAGGCGGCTCTTTGAAGTCATTTGTTCTTCTTGTGTATGACTGTATCCAAATAAGACTTACAACAACAAAACTGAAATAAAGGTAAAATACAATAATATACTTCATAAAATAATGAAATGAAGTTTGAGTCTATAAGTCCCACGTTTGTGAATCACTGAGCTGTTACTTATTATATATTAGATAACATAAGACAACCACTTATATTGGATAACATAACTAATGACAACTGAACCAAGACATAGCTTGAAGGAACGATGTTCACTGAAGTGTCGCATCCACAAGAGGTTTGGGTGGCAATATATTATCTTGAAGCGATTCAAATAGCAGTGTTATTACGAGTCTGTCGACTGGTTAAAGTGCATGCATAAATACATACACTATTAATGGACAATGTTAAAGGGACATTAGTTAAGATTAGATAAAGAGTTGACAGTTCTCGCTGTAATAGTTAAAATAGATAATGACAACAAAATATGCTGAAAATTTCAGTCAAATTGCTTCACTCTGAACCGAGATATAAGCCATTATATTAGCCATTCAATTTTAGGCTAGTCTCGGTCGTATTACTGACGTTGGTATGATAAAAAAGTCTCGATTATCAAATTTTATCTTATATTACCCATCACAAAATGGATTCAAATCCAGTAAATATTGCTAGCTAATGATGTTATCGAGAGTTGAGAGTTGATTACAGTCTGGATAAGTTAAACATACATTATGCAAGAGCTAAATCCGCCTATTGCACCTCTTCTTTGGGCCTGAAATGCAAAAAGTTTCGCCCACCCCCACCCCCCTGTGAAAATATGCTGAAAATTACAGTCAAATTGCTTCACTCTGAACCGAGATATTAGCCATTCAATTTTAGGCTAGTCTCGGTCGTATTACTGACGTTGGTATGATAAAAAAGTCTCGATTATTCAATTTTATCTTATATTACCCATCACAAAATGGATTCAAATCCAGTAAATATTGCTGGCTAATGATGTTATCGAGAGTTGAGAGTTGATTACAGTCTGGATAAATTAAACATACATTATGCAAGAGCTAAATCCGCCTATTGCAGCTCTTCTTTTGGCCTGAAATGCAAAAAGTTTCGCCCACTCCCACCCCCCTGTGAAAAAAATGTCGACCATAAAAACAATAGATATACATTGTCTGTCAATTTTACAGCAACCCTGAGACCCCCCCCCCCCCATTGCTCTGAGCTAGTTACGGCCCTGGGATTAATATACTTTTTGGCAACAGGACGGAGGGCCTGACAAGGACAGCTGTCTAGTCATTCGGATGAGACGAAAAACCGAGGTCCCGTGTACACATTGGCGTGCACGTAAAAGATCCCTTGACAGTTGGAATTCGATATAAGAGTAGGCCGTAGTGCCGCTGTCCGGGCAAAATTTCCCTCATAGCACACTGTATGGCGTATGCCCGTCTTCATTAGCCCAGTTCGGAGCAAAACAGTAGGACGCTAAACCCCATTTCATTTCATTTCATTTCATTTCCTTTTTGACAAGATTTATCTTTATTGTGTTTTGTCGGATAGTGTATATTGGCTTTGAAGTCTAGAATATTTTACTTTTAAGGCATCAACAGCGATCACCCAAAAGTGTACTCAAAGAATACTATAGGATGTATCTTTAATACGCCTACAATTTGGGTTCTTGTATTAACGTTCTGAAATGTTGAGTATGTTAAATTCAAACATGATATATTTTGATCTGTCCATTAATCTCTTTCAGATTAGCACTTGTATTATTTATTTTACGTATAAAGATGAAATAATTCATGGCCATGCTTGGTACTGTTTCATACAAAATAAAATACGTAATAGATTTTAAGGGATAAGCGGTAGTTTGCTCACTTCTACATTCATTCAAGGACATTCTTTACTAACTAGACTAATATATCAAGATTTCAAATTAATGTCATCCAAATCATATGTGATCTACTTATATCATCAAAACTTTACAGAAACATCCAATCATGAACGTCATTTGTATTTATGTTTACAGAGCAAAACAAAAGGTCGAACTTTTATTTAAATCATTTATGTCTTGTTAAAGTTGATATAAACATTAAAAAACACGATGTTTCATAACATCTGTTGGCAGGCAATGTTTTCAATATCTAGCTTACACAACAGGACTAAAACAATAATTTGTAAAGAATTGACTATAAACCAAGAAGATTACAAGCATGTCTCTTCATTTATGGCTACACATTTAATCTACTTAAAATCGGACCTATCCGATGACATCGAGAGTTGATTATAACATGTAAGGCCTAAAGAAAGACCTACAATAGGCAGGTTTAGCTCTTGCTTAATCAATCAAAATACTGAAAAAGATATGCATCCCTAAATATATCAACATCTAACTTCCATTTTCCGATCGGAATTCCCGTATATGACGCAAAAAGAATATGGGGTTATATTTCATTAGTTTTACAATGTGTATATAATAGGGTATAAAATTGAAATTAAGCTTGATTAGAGATAACTGCTTCACAATAGAGTTGTCATAAGAAATAATGTAGATGTCACAGGTGACGTCTAGCAGAACAACAGTCATATGTTTAATACATAATATTATATGAATAAATCTAACACCATGAACAAGTACAGAAAAGATGGATTTTCAGGCAAGGAATAGCATTGTCGTTCGGATTGTAAATGAAAATTATTCAAACTAAACTTCGTCTCGAAACGATGACAATATTCTAACAACGTCATGTCTCGTTTCAATAAAATGACAATATCACAACTTTAAGCCTCGTCTCGAAAAGATGGTATTACCATAAATATCACAACTCTAAGCCTCGTCCCGAAAAAATGACAATATCATAATGTCATAACTTTAAGCCTCGTTTCGAAAATATGACAATATCATAATGCTACAATTTTATGTCTCTTCTCTGAAGTTGAAAATAACACAACTTTAAGCCACGTCTCGAAAAGATGACAATATTATAATGCCACAACTTTAAGCCTCGTCACGAAAAGATGACATTATCATAATGTCACAACTTTATGTCTCGCCTCTAAACGATGACAATATCATAATGTCACAACTTTAAGCCTCGTCTTCAGAAAATGACAATATCATGATGTCGCAGCAAGTGACCATCCCAGTTTGAACAGAGTCTCTAAAATAAAAGTCCGAGCACGTATGCAATTTAAGTGCCAAAACATACAGAAATCGTGTATTTACCTTGTCTCAAAATTTGAGCTCAAAATATTGAGTCGTTTGGACGTGAACGACAAAACCTCTTATCCGGACACGTAACCTTTTTAAGATTTCGGTTCAATTTTTTCGTTGGGTGACCTGATAATCTATCAATGTTTCTTTAGAGGACAAAACAGTGCATGGTCTGTACTTGATATCAAACGGTAAATTTCACCTAATCGTTTTTTAAAAAAAATAAAATTCGGGTTTTATCCAGTCTCAATTTCCAGATGAAGGCTGACAGGTTTAAGTTGTTTCAAAACGTATCACGTATCTTGAGTTAGTTGCTGTGCACTAAGATAGAGGTTTTTAAGGGCTTTTCACACAAAATTAAGCAGTTTTATTCTCCAAAATATAATCGAGATTGGCCCTTTAACGCCTCGTATCTAAAAGATGACAATATCAAAAGCCCACAACTTTAAGTCTCGTCTTGAAAAGATGACGATAATTATAATAATGTCAACTTTAAGCCCGTCTTGAACAGATGACAATATCACAGTATTCCAGTATCGGTACTGTTGTATCATCCCGTCATATATAAATCATACTAACCTAAATTAAAGCCGCTTTATTAAATAGAATATTATCGAAAAATACTAATAGTTCACATGTATGAGCCCACAATCTGTCCTTGACAATAATATAGACTATATAAATAGTATACTGTAAATAATGTATTTTATGGCCCACCGTGTTACCTACACGAGAAATCAATGATGCATGTCTAATACAAACATCATAAATTATTATTATACAGTACCGTAGTACAATCACATTGCGAATCCACGGGGATGGTGACATTGAGGCAATACGTATCGGAAAACCAATAGGTATAAAGACAACAGCGGAGAGGGTGGATGATGGACCAGTGCACAAAGAGATCGTTAAGCAGTAGTATATGTATATTAGTTCAATAAAATTAAACTACATTTTGTGATAAATATATGATTATCTACTGAAGCGAAATAACAGTAGAACACAGTGCAGCTGCCAGGACAAACTTTCCCTCATAGCACACTGCATGGCGTATGGGCTGTGACCATCTTCATTATCCCGGATGGAGCAGGAAAATAGGACGTTCAACCCCATTTCATTTCAATTATCTATGGCAGCAGATAGATATTTCCCTTGATTATTAAACCGAGGGAACACAGACACGTTTAAAAATAAAACAGACGAAATTTTCCAATAATATGACGTTTAAAATAGGCAGGAATGTTCAACAATCCATACTGAATTGTTTTCTTCTTTTATTTTAAACAGTTTAATTGCCAAAGCACACAAAAACATACATAAAAAGGTACATACACATAAAATTCACGTTATTTATAATAATATATTAATTAATATGGATATGATCAGTTAAATTTTGCCCTAATCTCCCAATCAATCGTTTACAACAGCTATTATTGTTAGGAAGATAATTTAATTTATTGACAATTAAAACTGAAAATTACTGGATCTGACTATACATTCGTCACCCTTCCTGCGTCATCATGTTTATTTTCTAATTGATCACAAGAAAAATGTATTTCCACGATTATAAAAATGTGAATATTGTTTATAACGAAAAACTCTCTCATATTACTTGATGTAGGTTTTATGATCGTGCTTCGCCACAAAAAATTACATAACACACTATTTAAACCAAACACAGACTGAATTTATAAGGCGCCGGGATTATTTATACAGAGTACATTTTAACTTTCCATCATACCATTGAAACACTTGTGATCTTTTATGTTCCGCCCCCTGGTTTAATGCAAACTCTTACTGGCATAAAATTCATGACATAAATTCCAATTAGTGACTTTATTCAGAATCCGATCGCATAATTATCATAGGGTGTAATAACATCGCAACAATTTAACGTTGTGATTCAATGGTAATGCAATTTTAGGGTTTGAATGTTCAAAATAAACATAAGAGTCAATTCGAAGTAGAAAGGAAAGGCATGGAGTTTAACGTCCATTGTCTCCTCTTAACACTTTGAGACTGGCATGCGGTTATTTTATAGTCACTTTTATAGTCATTTTGCAAAGAGAGCGAATACCTTCTTACTCGCCACCCAATTCAAACTGTCAAAGAAGCGACGCCGTCAGCGTGAATTTGTGTTTAGCAGCAATGACTGAGACCCCCTTCAACCCGGCCCCTCCATCGCCACCTCCAAACATAGAGTAATATACCCAACCGTCCCTTCCAGCATACCAGAAGTGCACTATGTATGGGTGTTTTCGTGTCACTGCTTTGATTTCAAACGAAAACATGCCATCGTTAAATTTTAAAGGGAGTCGTATGTTAGTCTATAAATTATTACTTGCATCATTCAGACTCATCATGGCGGTACACATGACTCAAGTGGACCCGTTACCAGTACCGTAATAATAATACATATTATGGAGAATATATTACATCTATCTAGACATTCGTTACAAAACACGATAAATCATCCAGTAATAAGCAGCTTCAGGAGAAAATATATAGCGTATCGATGTCCATTGCCATGCGCAAGCAATCTCTAGTTCTAGCCAACCGAATCCACACACTTCATTATCGACAGATATTCCGAATGACTTTGTTTGTTTTGGGGTGAACAAGAGATGGAAAGCGGGGTTATAGTCTATATTCTCTTATCATATGACGCTTATCTACATAATTACATACTCACCAGTAATATATCTCAAATCAGCGTATCATCTCATTCATTCATGCCGTATCAGTTCGTGGTGGTATACACACTCAACACATTGCTCTACTGCGCGTGTTAACGGGAAATTGACCTTTGACATTAACACTTCATTATCCAGGCGCTCAAAAATTCCTGCTAGCAGTGGTAGGCTATATCGGCAAAAGAAATGAAATGAAATGGGGTTTAACGTCCTATTGTTATGCTCCTAAACTGGGCTAATGAAGACGGACATACACCATACAGTGTGCTATGAGAGGAAATTTTGCCCGGGAAGCGGCGCTACGGCCTACTTTTATATCGGATTCCAACTGCGCCAAGGGATCTTTTACGTGCACGCCAATATGTACACGGGACCTTGGTTTTTCGTACCATCCGAATGACTAGACAGCTGTCCTCCGTCCTGCACCACTGACAAGGGGAGACCACGCCGGAAAATCTGGATGAACTTTCTCGGCCAATGCAGGGATCGAACACCCGACCTCCAGGCTAGCGAGCCAGCGTCTTACCCATTTAGCCACCGTGATCCCCTATCGGCAAAAGGCACGGTAATACTATTAATTTATTGACTCGAAAAATGTTCACTGTTATAACGCAAATCACCCTAATATACTTTTCATTTTGAGTAATTTATATTACATAGTCCACTATATGATAAGTAATTACTGTATTTATCTAAACGTATAGTAAAGATGAGATTTATGTCATTCAACAAGGAGCGTTGGATGGCCGAATGGTTTTCGCGTGCGCGATGTGTGTCATAAAGTCTGTCGTTAAGTCAACTGGCTTGGTTTAGATTCCCCGGTTGTACGTGACAAGTAGTAGGATCCCCTGTGCAACCTCGTGGGTTTTCTCCGGGCCCTCCGGTTTCCTCCCACTGCTAAAGACCCCTACGCACATGCGAATTATCGAAATAAAATTGAACCATATGTCAGTCCCGAAGTGACCTAGTTTGTGTCGAGTGGGCGTTAACCCCCCCCCCCTCTCCTTGGTTTTTCGTCCCTTAGCCTAGATACTGTTCCTTGCCTGCCCCCCCCCCCGTCCTGCGCACCACTGAAACATTGTAACCACGCCGGTAAATCCCTAGAAACTTTATTGGCAAACACCGCGAGCTAACCCGAGACCACTTGATTCAATCTGTTTAACAGAGTTATTGCGAAAGCCTTCTTCTAACTCTGTATATGATGACCGACCTTAAGTTCAAATGCCTTCTACATGTGCCGTTACATCACACGGCTTCGATCATTGGCTCTATGGCGCGTGCATTGTTTACATAAGATGTAGTAACGTAAACTTGTCCAGACAGAATGGTGCTTTTTACTCATTTTAGGGGGATTGGATGGCTTAATGGTTAGCGTGCGCGCGCTGTATCATAAAGTCTGTCATTGAGTCGACTGGCGTGGTTTCGTATCCCCGGTTGTACGTGACAAGGAGTAGGGTCGCCTGTCCAACCTCGTGGGTTTTCTCCGGGTCCTCAGGTTTCCTCCCACTGCTAAAGACCCCTATGCACAAGCGAATTATTGAAATAAAATTAAACCATATGTTAGTCCCGAAATGACCTAGTTGTGTCGAGTGGACGTTAAACCCCATTTCTCTCGCTCTCTCTTTACTCATTTTATATACTCATTTACACTAAATAGGAAATATTTTTTTATCTAGATATACTTCAAACACCTTTATTTATTTTTCTAATACGTCAAACAAATGTTCTAGAATTTAATTTGCAGAAGGAAAAAGTTAATATTGCGAGCTAATTAACCCGCAACGATGTCACCCCCTTCAGTGATTGTAGCGGCTTATCAAATATTCACTTCTGATCAGTGTGCACTTGGTTGGAGAGCCAGTGCGTGACGCACTGAGACACCGTGGTTTTGCGTTTCAACATCATCATCATTGAAATGAAATGGGGTTTAATGTCTTACTTTTCTGCCCCGACTAGGTTAATGAAGACGGACAATAAGATTAATATGACCACATCATGACTTAGTACAAATTGTCGACAGGCTCATTCGGAATAAAATACTAAAAAGGTGAGTATACAGCAGGTATATATTTTAATCAAAGCAATTATTTTATTTGTTTTAAAAAAAAGCTCAAGATAAAATGCATGTGGGTGAATTATAATATACTAGAAACATATTTACCTTCTTTATACATGTACATGACGTATATACGAATCGTAGCCCCAATTAAAAACTAATAGCTAATACCAACCATAAACTATTAGTACGAATTGTTATCAATCAATACTCCAATATAATAATACAAACTCAATGATTTGAGTGACTGGCGTCTATACAAATAAACATTTACATTGGTGGCCAATTTAATAAATTGTTGGTTTACAATGATAAACAATAAATTATCATTTTACAATAATATAATGAATTATCAGTTTACAATGATAAATCAATAAGATATCAGTTTACAATGATAAATCAATAAGTTAACAGTTTACAATGGTTAAACAATAAATGATCAGTTTACAATGATAAAGTAATAAATTAACAGCTTACAATGATAAAATAATAAATTATCAGTTTACGATGATAAAAGAATAAATTGTCAGCTTACAATACTAATTCAATGGCTTATCAGTATACGTACAATGATAAAGTAATACGTTATCAGCTTACAATAATAAAACAATAAATTATCCAATGAACCAACAGATTATTTGTTTAAAATGATTATCTAATAAATTGATAACATGTTAATTTTAATGTTTATTTGAGACAGATTAAAATGGGAGCAGACACAACCTTGATCTGCATAATATAAAAATAATGAGTATTTATTCCTTCTAGGATTACGTATGTAAGAAAACGTAACCTGGCCAAAAAAGGTGAATTACAAACATCGATTGAATGCAGTGTTTGGTTTTAAATTTTACCTTATTGACAGATGATTTTGTTTTTCAAATTAAAATCTTTAATAATCATTTGAATATATTTTAGTGACGATTAAGCCGGGAAAATGAGCTATTATCCGAAAAATTCAAATGATGTTATTTGGGTAGAAGTTGGGATTGTTCTTGTTTTATTTAAATTTAGGAATGAATGACACAATAAAGGAAATACAACACGCTATCCCTCTACAGTTAAAATAATTCTGCGTTTATCTCATTATTAATCATATGTGCGATTTTCCTGGAATAAAAGGAGAAAAGATCGAGTCACACATTTTAATGTTATTTAACTGCGGTGCATGAAAAACTAGATGATGTCCATGTTCGATCTACTTCACAGATTACATCAGGGTTTCCACTTGATGCTGTCCCGTTGACACAAACATAAGTTGCTGTACTACCCACAAATTTATCTGGATACGAAACAGTGGCGTTGACAATTGTTGGGGGTTCCGGACATTCTACAAAAATAAACATAACTTAATATTTAATAATTAACATACTATAATACAAAGATTTGTAATCTTAAAGCTAGCGAATTAAAACAAAATGAACCGTTTTGCTCCATCCGGGTCTATGAAGACGGGCATACGTCATACAGTGTGCTATGAGGGAAATTAGACTTTGGCAGCGGCGCTAGGGTCTATCTTTGTTTCGAATTCCAACTGTCAAGTGCACACCAACTTGTAAACTGGACCTCCGCTTGTCCTTCCACCGAACGACTAGATACTGTCCCTTTTCAGACCCTCCGTAACTGTGCCACTGACAAATGGAACCAAGTTGTAAAATCTCGATGAATTGTTTTTGCCAACATCCAGGTAAGCGCCCCACTGCCGCTCCTGAACAAAACAAATCAAAATTACCGTTAAACGGAAAGTGGGCTACAACCACATCATTAATCTGCAGAAATCAAAAATGCTAAACACCATTTCTTTTATTATGCCTTTAATAGATTGTGTTGTGTAAGAAATTAGGTGGTGTTTGTCCCACTTTTCTGCATCTGCACCAACCTGCTTGTGCATGCAACTGGATGCGGAGTGGTCTACCACATGCGCAATCTGCTATCTTTGCAATTCATGATTTCGATCCTATGTTTGTAGTAGAGCCGCTTGCTTAACCTCGTAGAATTTCAACGGGATATCGGGTATTTCGCTTCCGCTCCACTCCTAAGCCCCACTTCCCATGTGCACGATGTTTTTATATATCCATGAGGATAAAATGACCTTTTCTGACACCTGGAAAAAAGGTTATCACCCCTTGACATAATGAACCACACAATGCCACAATTATTAATGATGATTTTACTAAAAATGATCTTTCATTTGCAGAAAAATTTTGGCCTGAGAAATTTTAACTTTGCTCTTTCAACAACAAATTTGAACAGTGTAAGATTTACAATATTGCGTGCGGTTAAAACAAAACATTACAAAACGAAAATGAAAAGAACACATATTATTATACAACAATTGATAATTTTTCCATTCATTTGAGTATTTTACAAAGATATAACTTTACGATGCCAAGTAACAGACTTACCTAATTTACATGCAAAGTCAACACTTGTCCACGTTTGATCGGGTTGACATGTTAATTGTGGTGTACCGTCTACAGCGTATCCACTATTACAAACATAATCTACTACCGTGTTTATTATTCGTACCGCGGTGTTGGTAGTAGCATTTGGTACATCAGGTACAACAGGGCATTCTGAAACAGACCAGAATTTGAGATAATATACTATTTACTGTCTGATCCAGGTAATACTCCGACCTGAAAATTGCTTGCCATTTCTTCATTTTTTAATTAAGATGGCTAAAACTTTGTGACACACCTGGAATTTTCATCCCTTTGATTTCTTCCCTTAGCCTAAATGACTAGAAGTTCGATAAAATCTAGTATTCTCTTGTAAATTTCATATATTTAGACATTGTCACTTTCTCAGAGAATAAACATTACGACTACGCCTGCGTCAAATTGGACGCTTGCATATCGCTTGCATTCCTTTTACTAATTTTACCTTGGCAAATTACATAAAAAGTAATTCTACAATAGTTATGAGTTATTATTACATAAACTCTGACAAAATGCACAACATGCTAGTTAATATGTGATAATGACTGGCACCAATATTGTCCTCCAAAACCAAACCAACACCTCTAACCCGCTTAGGCTCTTCCAAATAACTAGACCAAATATGGCTGTTTTCAGTACCAAGATGTCGCCAAACCACAATTTTTCAAGGAGGAAAAGCTATATAGCTTGATCTGACCTTAGTTCTCACAAGACAGAAAACAATAGGATGACCATTCCAGGTATTTCACGACGTTTTAGCCATTTTAAATAAAAAAATTGAAGAAATGGCAAGCAATTTTCGAGTCCTAGTATCACCCGGAACATACAGTAAGAGAAATAACGTTTAGACCATTTGAAAACAGTTGTATGTTTGAAATATCGGCCAGAAATGATTAAATATATATATATATATATATATATATATATATATATATATATATATATATATATATAACAATTAAAATTTGTTTTTTTTTGAGGGGGGGGGGGGGGGGCTTGTTAACCAAATTGCGGTTGTTAGCATACTAAGATACAGCGCTGTTGTATACAAATAATAGTGCTCATTTTTTAGCATCTATTCTGTATCCAAAGAAATATCACTTGTTAAAATTTTCCTGTCCACATGAATGAACCCGTGATGCGCCATACCATTAGCGCCTCACTAATATCATACTTACGTTTTAAACACTGAAAGTCGGTCGTGGACCACTGTTGATCTGTTTGACATGTAATGTTGGGAGAACCGCCTGGAACTGTTTCAGGATCACAGGAATAAGTGGCATTACTACCAACAAATTTATCAGCATAGTTAGCAGTCGCATCTGTTATATTTTGTGGCTCGGGACATTCTGATAAAAAAATATTATTTGCATCAAATATAGTCCTGGGAAATGTTATCTTAAATCAGATGAACATGTTCGTATTTGTCATCAAATTCATGCTTGGAAAACATAAAATTACAAGTAACTTTTAACAATTTGTATAAATCAAACTGAACTAAAATCATCGTATCTTGCAAAAAGGTTAAGCACCCCATGAAAATGGACCAAATAATGTCTCAATTATTTTCGAGTTTCATATTAACGGTGATTTTAATACAAATACAAATAAATAATTGGTCATTCTTGAGTGACTGCAATGCATCAACGCCAAGACCTTGTACACTCAACTTGCCCCCCCCCCCCCAACTATATATGGTCTTTAAAATCTGTTTCTTGCAATATTAACTCATTGTCTGTAAAGATGGTGCGAATGAGATTGATACAACCGCAGATATGCATTCGGCAAGAATGCCCTGCTGTCTGGTTCGGAAACATTGACAAGCAAACCAACGGTGTGAAGGACCGACCCCGTTACGGATAACCTAAAGTGAAGTCACTTGGTGTTTACCAGGAAGGGCTGGAACCTGAGGGTGTGGCTGAACACCCATTAGTCGAATGGAAGTAGGTTTCTGATCCATGTCACGGATGGGCGAAATGGTGGGCTAAGAGACACGGAAAGGCGGTTTATATACCAAGGAACATTAGCCTAACCGTTCCGTACGGTGGAGGCTCAGTCATGATGTTGGGATCTCGCATAATTGCAAGTTGTACATGCCAGGCAATCTTACATATATTAAACAGACTTACCTAATTTACATGCAAAGTCAACAGTCGTCCACATTTGGTCAGGTTGACATGTTAATTGTGGTGTACCGTCTACAACGTATCCACTATTACAAACATAATCTGCCACCGTGTTTATTATTCGTACCGTGGTGTTGGTAGTAGCATTTGGTACATCAGGTACAACAGGGCATTCTGAAACAGACCAGAATTTGAGATAATATACTATTTACTGTCTGATCCAGGTAATACTCCGACCTGAAAATTGCTTGCCATTTCTTCATTTTTTAATTAAGATGGCTAAAACTTTGTGACACACCTGGAATTTTCATCCCTTTGATTTCTTCCCTTAGCCTAAATGACTAGAAGTTCGATAAAATCTAGTATTCTCTTGTAAATTTCATATATTTAGACATTGTCACTTTCTCAGAGAATAAACATTACGACTACGCCTGCGTCAAATTGGACGCTTGCATATCGCTTGCATTCCTTTTACTAATTTTACCTTGGCAAATTACATAAAAAGTAATTCTACAATAGTTATGAGTTATTATTACATAAACTCTGACAAAATGCACAACATGCTAGTTAATATGTGATAATGACTGGCACCAATATTGTCCTCTAAAGCCAAACCAACACCCCTAATCCGCTTAGGCTCTTCCAAATAACTAGACCAAATATGGCTGTTTTCAGTACCAAGATGTCGCCAAACCACAATTTTTCAAGGAGGAAAAGCTATATAGCTTGATCTGAACTTAGTTCTCACAAGACAGAAAACAACAGGATGACCATTCCAGGTATTTCACGACGTTTTAGCCATTTTAAATAAAAAAATTGAAGAAATTGCAAGCAATTTTCGAGTCCTAGTATCACCCGGAACATACAGTAAGAGAAATAACGTTTAGACCATTTGAAAACAGTTGTATGTTTGAAATATCGGCCAGAAATGAATAAATTATATATATATATATATATATATATATATATATATATAGATAACAATTAAACTTTTTTTTTGGGGGGGGGGGGAGGCTTGTTAACCAAATTGCGGTTGTTAGCATACTAAGATACAGCGCTGTTGTATACAAATAATAGTGCTCATTTTTAAGCATCTATCCTGTATCCAAAGAAATATCACTTGTTAAAATTTTCCTGTCCACATGAATGAACCCGTGATGCGCCATACCATTAGCGCCTCACTAATATCATACTTACGTTTTAAACACTGAAAGTCGGTCGTGGACCACTGTTGATCTGTTTGACATGTAATGATGGGAGAACCGCCTGGAACTGTTTCAGGATCACAGGAATAAGTGGCATTACTACCAACAAATTTATCAGCATAGTTAGCAGTCGCATCTGTTATATTTTGTGGCTCGGGACATTCTGATAAAAAAATATTATTTGCATCAAATATAGTCCTGGGAAATGTTATCTTAAATCAGATGAACATGTTCGTATTTGTCATCAAATTCATGCTTGGAAAACATAAAATTACAATTACTTTTTAACAATTTGTATAAATCAAACTGAACTAAAATCATCGTATCCTGCAAAAAGGTTAAGCACCCCATGAAAATGGACCAAATAATGTCTCAATTATTTTCGAGTTTCATATTAACGGTGATTTTAATACAAATACAAATAAATAATTGGTCATTCTTGAGTGACTGCAATGCATCAACGCCAAGACCTTGTACACTCAACTTGCCCCTCCCCCCAACTATATATGGTCTTTAAAATCTGTTTCTTGCAATATTAACTCATTGTCTGTAAAGATGGTGCGAATGAGATTGATACAACCGCAGATAATTGATATGCATTCGGCAAGAATGCCCTGCTGTCTGGTTCGGAAACATTGACAAGCAAACCAACGGTGTGAAGGACCGACCCCGTTACGGATAACCTAAAGTGAAGTCACTTGGTGTTTACCAGGAAGGGCTGGAACCTGAGGGTGTGGCTGAACACCCATTAGTCGAATGGAAGTAGGTTTCTGATCCATGTCACGGATGGGCGAAATGGTGGGCTAAGAGACACGGAAAGGCGGTTTATATACCAAGGAACATTAGCCTAACCGTTCCGTACGGTGGAGGCTCAGTCATGATGTTGGGATCTCGCGTAATTGCAAGTTGTACATGCCAGGCAATCTTACATATATTAAACAGACTTACCTAATTTACATGCAAAGTCAACAGTCGTCCACATTTGGTCAGGTTGACATGTTAATTGTGGTGTGCCGTCTACAACGTATCCACTATTACAAACATAATCTGCCACCGTGTTTATTATTCGTACCGTGGTGTTGGTAGTAGCATTTGGTACATCAGGTACAACAGGGCATTCTGAAACAGACCAGAATTTGAGATAATATACTATTTACTGTCTGATCCAGGTAATACTCCGACCTGAAAATTGCTTGCCATTTCTTCATTTTTTAATTAAGATGGCTAAAACTTTGTGACACACCTGGAATTTTCATCCCTTTGATTTCTTCCCTTAGCCTAAATGACTAGTAGTTCGATAAAATCTAGTATTCTCTTGTAAATTTCATATATTTAGACATTGTCACTTTCTCAGAGAATAAACATTACGACTACGCCTGCGTCAAATTGGACGCTTGCATATCGCTTGCATTCCTTTTACTAATTTTACCTTGGCGAATTACATAAAAAGTAATTCTACAATAGTTATGAGTTATTATTACATAAACTCTGACAAAATGCACAACATGCTAGTTAATATGTGATAATGACTGGCACCAATATTGTCCTCTAAAGCCAAACCAACACCCCTAATCCGCTTAGGCTCTTCCAAATAACTAGACCAAATATGGCTGTTTTCAGTACCAAGATGTCGCCAAACCACAATTTTTCAAGGAGGAAAAGCTATATAGCTTGATCTGAACTTAGTTCTCACAAGACAGAAAACAATAGGATGACCATTCCAGGTATTTCACGACGTTTTAGCCATTTTAAATAAAAAAATTGAAGAAATGGCAAGCAATTTTCGAGTCCTAGTATCACCCGGAACATACAGTAAGAGAAATAACGTTTAGACCATTTGAAAACAGTTGTATGTTTGAAATATCGGCCAGAAATGATTAAATTATATATATATATATATATATATATATATATATATATATAACAATTAAACTTTTTTTTTTGGGGGGGGGGGGCTTGTTAACCAAATTGCGGTTGTTAGCATACTAAGATACAGCGCTGTTGTATACAAATAATAGTGCTCATTTTTAAGCATCTATTCTGTATCCAAAGAAATATCACTTGTTAAAATTTTCCTGTCCACATGAATGAACCCGTGATGCGCCATACCATTAGCGCCTCACTAATATCATACTTACGTTTTAAACACTGAAAGTCGGTCGTGGACCACTGTTGATCTGTTTGACATGTAATGATGGGAGAACCGCCTGGAACTGTTTCAGGATCACAGGAATAAGTGGCATTACTACCAACAAATTTATCAGCATAGTTAGCAGTCGCATCTGTTATATTTTGTGGCTCGGGACATTCTGATAAAAAAATATTATTTGCATCAAATATAGTCCTGGGAAATGTTATCTTAAATTAGATGAACATGTTCGTATTTGTCATCAAATTCATGCTTGGAAAACATAAAATTACAAGTAACTTTTAACAATTTGTATAAATCAAACTGAACTAAAATCATCGTATCCTGCAAAAAGGTTAAGCACCCCATGAAAATGGACCAAATAATGTCTCAATTATTTTCGAGTTTCATATTAACGGTGATTTTAATACAAATACAAATAAATAATTGGTCATTCTTGAGTGACTGCAATGCATCAACGCCAAGACCTTGTACACTCAACTTGCCCCTCCCCCCAACTATATATGGTCTTTAAAATCTGTTTCTTGCAATATTAACTCATTGTCTGTAAAGATGGTGCGAATGAGATTGATACAACCGCAGATAATTGATATGCATTCGGCAAGAATGCCCTGCTGCCTGGTTCGGAAACATTGACAAGCAAACCAACGGTGTGAAGGACCGACCCCGTTACGGATAACCTAAAGTGAAGTCACTTGGTGTTTACCAGGAAGGGCTGGAACCTGAGGGTGTGGCTGAACACCCATTAGTCGAATGGAAGTAGGTTTCTGATCCATGTCACGGATGGGCGAAATGGTGGGCTAAGAGACACGGAAAGGCGGTTTATATACTATTCAAAAAAAGTAGGGGATATTTGATTTTGGGGGCATAATACTAAAATATGCAAATGACTACGAAAAAAGTCACTATAGAACTTAACAGAAGAAACATTTCCAGTTACATGTGACGCCCAAACGCACCAATAGCTACCGCATGGAATGCAGGTGATGCTTGGGATCATCATGGGGTCCAACCCAAGATTTGCACGACTCTGACTTTGAATGTTACAGTCATTGTGGCATTGAATTCCAGGGTGGAAACATCTGTTTTATTGTTTTAGTGACCAGAAAACAAATTTTGATATGCGTCGGCTTACCCAAAATGAAAGGTTACGTGCCCTTGGCGTGCTACAGATCGGCACAACACAGGCGGTTGTGGCGCGGACGATGAATGTTTCTCAGTCTGTCATAAGCAGGCTATGGTCCAGATACCGTGATACACAATCTGTACAGGACAGACCACGCTCAGGTCGACCAAGGGCGACAACTCAAACCCAGGATCGATTTATCCGTACCTTGGCCTTGAGAAATCGTGTCATCACAGCAAATCAGATCAGCGCTCGTCTTCAAACAGACACTGGTGTGAGAGTGAGTGGCCAGACGATTCGGAATCGACTGCATAGGGGTCACCTTCGCGCCCGACGTCCTCGCGTGATCCCTTGTTTGAGAGATCATCACATTCAGGCAAGACGTCGTTGGTGTAGGGATCGTCAACACTGGGATAATCGACGCTGGAGCAATGTGATGTTTTCAGATGAGTCAAGGTTCACTGTTGATTTTTTGGACAGACGTAGGAGGGTGTGGCGTCGTCGAAACGAGCGCTTCCAAGACGTTAACGTCATCAGACATGATCGATTTGGGGGTGGTTCTGTTATGGTGTGGGGAGGCATTACTGTTGCTGGAAGAACGGCTTTATATGTTGTTGCAGGGCGTGTTACAGGCCAGTACTACCGGGACAACATCTTGGCAGTCCATGTTGTGCCGTTCGCACGACGTCATGGCCGCCGTTTCATCTTCCAGGATGACAACGCAAGATGTCACAGGGCCAGGATCGTTACAGGTTACCTCCAACAACAGAACATCACCACATTATCTTGGCCAGCACTGAGTCCCGACCTCTCCCCATCGAGCATGTCTGGGACATGCTTGGACAGAGGTTACGTCAACGTCAACAACGTCCTGTCAATGTCCAAGAACTTGCTGCTGCGTTGCAACAGGAATGGGACAATCTGGACCAAAATGACCTTAGACGTCTCATTAGGAGTATGCCACGTCGGATCAATGCTTGTTTGGCAAACAGAGGAGGATTTACCCGTTACTGACTTGGTTGTGATGCTGTGGTAACTTTGCTGTTTGACCCCGGGTATCATTTTACCCTTATAATGGTCAGTCTGTGCCTTACTTAGTCTAACGATCATTTGGAATAAATCGATGAATGTGAACTTCATTTCATTTTGTCATTTGTTTCTTCGTCAGTTTCATTAGGTGACTTTAATAACACTTAAAAACCAAATATCCCCTACTTTTTTTGAATAGTATATACCAAGGAACATTAGCCTAACCGTTCCGTACGGTGGAGGCTCAGTCATGATGTTGGGATCTCGCATAATTGCAAGTTGTACATGCCAGGCAATCTTACATATATTAAACAGACTTACCTAATTTACATGCAAAGTCAACAGTCGTCCACATTTGGTCAGGTTGACATGTTAATTGTGGTGTACCGTCTACAACGTATCCACTATTACAAACATAATCTGCCACCGTGTTTATTATTCGTACCGTGGTGTTGGTAGTAGCATTTGGTACATCAGGTGCACCAGAGCATTCTAAGAACAGAAACAACTACATGAAGAAAATGAACAATTCGTTATCAATTATAAACCTGTTAAGAACAAACTAGCGACTTCATAGGACACCACGATACAAGTGTGCATATTTATGTCTCTTTATAGCAGTTTGTAAACAATAGCACAGCAAATATTTATTGCCTATGTGACCTCCACAAAAAGAACAGGACCCTGTTTCACAAAAACATAAATCTCCTTAAAATAGTCTTGAACTAAAATTCCATCCTAACTTAAGATAGATGCGTTCACAAAACGATTTTAAGCATTTTAGATAAAATCCACTAAAATAATATTATAAGTTAAAATTGTATCTTAACTTACAATAGTGGCGTTTCACAAAACTTTTTTAGGGACAATTTTAACTAAAATCAATTTTAACTTAGGGCAGCCGTCACCCTCTCCTAACATAAAATGCCGAGATTAACAAACATTGATTAGAGCTACGTTGTGAGATCTATTGCGACATATAGATATATTTGGAATAATGTTAATATTGCCAATGGCCCGGGTTATATAATTTAAACATACATGTACTATCATTCACAAAAATAATTTTCATTCGATTTTTTTTTCATTGAATGGGAAATATAGCTGCGGCCCACCCGTTTATTTTATTGGAAGGCAATAATAATGTAAGCAATTAGACGACGACCCAAATTAAACCCCAAAGAACAAAATGTAGGCATCGGAACATTGGTTATTTCGTGTATTAGTTTAAAAGTGGTTAAATACCGGTACTTTTAAAATTCGACAATACTTTAGTCTAGATTAATCGTTTAAGTCAGAAATATCACATATTTGTGACAATTGTCAATAGTTTCTGTTATCCAAAATACCATAAAACTACTAAATCCAAGCGATTTAGTTTATCGATACGCATTATTTCCATTGAAGCCTGCGAGTAAATCAAATGCCAAGGTCACGAAAGCGACATGCAAGTTCAAGGCCAACCAACTGATAAATTTCAAAACGAATAATACGCAATAAACTTGTTTATTTCATCTCTCTACGACTGTCTGACCATGTGCAGACAGTGTTACAACGTATGAAACTCTTCTCATTGGTATTGTAACGGTTAGTTTAACCTGGCAACTGTTTTCAGTTCCGAAGCGTTTAAGCTTGCACCCTGAGTGCCCTTGCCGGAATTGTGCACGGCGCGAGCGCAAGCAATTTTAACTAAAATCTATTAAAATTGCATTGTAAGTTACAATCGATCTTTGTGAAACGCATACAATTTAAAATATCATTTTGATTTTAGTTAAAAACTATTTTAGTTTAAGTTTTTGTGAAACAGGGCCCAGGTGCCATTGGCTCTAATCTATTCAATGTTAATATATATCTATTGATATTAATTAATTACATCACGTGTATTTTAGTGCTACCTTTCACTGACAACGGATGTTTCTGAGTTCGGCGTTTCCCGCTAGACATTGCAAACGTTACAGATCCATTTTAAAAAAACTAAATCAAATGTAAAATACAATGAATTGAACACCATACTCACGTTTTATACACTGGAAGTTTGATGTGGACCATTGTTGATCGGTTTGACAAGTGACAACAGGAGAACCATCTGGAACTGTTTCAGGATCACAGGAATATGTGGAATTACTACCAACAAATTTATCAGCATAGACAACAGTTGCATTTTCTATAACTAGCGGCTCTGCACAAACTATAAATGACAAAATAACATTCTTTATTTTAGCCGAATTTTCGGAAGGACTTTCAATACATGCAACGAGTTAACAACGTCTACACTTCTCGAACCCCACAAACTTTATATTATGTCAACAATCATACAGCACGTCTGTCGGGCCTCGATTCTGACCGTTTATAATCAATCAGAAAATAGGAGCATTTCAGTATGCATTGTAGTGTGCTTGTGTTAAAGGGGTGGTATAGGGGTGGGTTATGAGGTGAACTTTGGGTCAAAATGTTTTTTTTTTTCTTTACCAGACACGCAGAATGTCTGTCTTGTGTGTGCTTTTTTTACTCTAAAAATTATGTTTCTCCCTGAATATAAATCTAAAAACATTGACATATGCTACTGGAGACAAATCATCGTCGATGTCAAAATGAACAAATTTTCTCCCGATGGCTCCCGATGTTTTTGCCCGCAAAAACCAGAGTACTCCCGTGAGAAATGGCACTTATTAGACATCGGGGATGGTCCGATGAACGTTCACTGATGCTTCGGCTATGGTCACAGCTTACGAAAATGTTCCCCCGAACAACTGTCGTAAATCATCGGTGATGGCTCCCGATGCTCGGGAAAGTTCCGGAGTACCTTCGCCGATAATAATCAACATTAGCGGGTGCATTTGTGCGAACCAACCCAGGTGAATCTGTGGAAGGTTATGGGAGGGTATATATGCACATTGTGGGCCAGCATCATTCCAATCTCTCTCTGGCAGTGGAAGGGTGCACATCTCGGTGTAAAGTTCACACATTTAATTTTGTTAATGGAAGGTTACTTATTATGGCTGGCTTACAAGAACAGCAGGAGTTAGAAAGAATAATTTATTCAAAATCCAGCCAATCAGCGCCATGGGAAGATTGCACATTTCAATCGTCGGTGAATATTTGCGACGCCCCCGAGGTTTCCCCGGGACACCGAGGATTCTGTTCCAGAAGCCTCCAGAGGCTCACCAATTACCATCGGTGGTACATCTCCTAGGCAAAAAATGACCTGTGGGAACTAGGCATTAGATTTAAAAAAAACGGAAATAGGTTTTGATGAAAATGGTGTTGATGTAGTAAAAGTATTTTGTAACTACCGTACCTGGATTACACGCAAAAGTGACATTTGTCCACGTTTGATCAGATTGACAATCCAAAATCGGGTCTCCCCCGACTAATTTATACCCATCATTACAACCATACGTTACGTTTGCGCCTATAATTCGTGAGTCTGTGATAGGTGCAGCATTTGGTACGACTGGAGGCAGTGGACATTCTATAACATAAAGACGATCACATACAATTTAAGACGACTGGATGTGCTGGAAATAGCTAATAAACTGGAACATTTACTTTTGGAAATATTTTTAGTTTTACAGTTGCTGTTTTTTAAAATTTGTAGCTACCGTAATATGAAGTTTGGTTTCCTGCATCTCACACATAGGCCCCATACATTTCTCTTGTAGTATAATAAGCGAAGTTCCAAGCAAAATGTATACCCAAACCTTGACGATAATAACCAGTCGAAATAACGATTATGCGAATATACGAAGTATAAACAATTAAATACGGAGGGAAAAGCATGGTTTAATATGCCTACTACTATATTTGACGAGTATAATTATGCTGAAACAGTCATGCTATCGATCAAAAAGTTTTTCCAGTTTTGTGAAAATATTTCTTATTTGTAAATAACACTGAACACAATATTTAGACTAGCATACAAATGGTTAGGTCTTGCTACGGCTACGTCTACAATGCTAGTGAGGAGGATAATAGCGATATCGCACATAAGCCTGAGAGCAGCGTCTCCGCTCCCTTATCATCGCATGCAAGGATTTTATTACGTGTATAATATTGTGTACACGGACAGACTTTGAATTTTCGATTCACCCAAACAATATTACAGGGACCAGTTTAATTTATTGCCCAGTTTAATTTATTGAAATTGCAGAAAATGCTTACGTTCTAGACAGATAAATCCAACTGCTGACCATTCTTGATTATTTTGACAAGTGATATCTGAATTACCATCTAATAGTCTATCAGACGTACACGTATACGTTGCTATACTATCAATAAAGTTGTAGTTGGAAGTCGATACCGTTGTATAATTTAAACTTGGTGGGGGCTGACATACTTAAAATAAAAAAATATATATACACAATTTGCTTCACGGGTACCAGGTCATTTAGTACTAAATAGCACGTTTAAGCTTTGGTTTCTAGCAAAACAATATAACATTAGTATACATCAGAATGAATTCTTGATTTTCATACCTTCAATTGACGTCATATTAACGTTTAACAAAGATATGGCAGACAATGTCTAATTCACTCCATATCATAGCCATTCTATGATCCAGAGGGTTGATTATGAATAATTTTTAAAATGTTTATATAACTTTTGAAGCATTAGGAAAATTTAATAGAAATGTTTCGGTAACTACAATAGTTTAAAGCAGGAATTCAATGTATGGCCAGTTCCAATTATTCAAATCCATTATCTTTTTATGTTTCCTTCGAAATAATATATCAATGTCTGGGTCCATTTTTTGCATTACTAAAACTTTAAAAAAAATCATCAAAGTAGAAATGTGATTTTATGCCAACCGATTTCATTGCAAGATGTGCAAGGCTAACTTACCTAATTTACACTGAAAGTTAGTAGAAGACCATTCCTGATTGGACTGACATGTTAGTTGTGGCGTTCCATCGGCAACATATTCCCCGTTACAGTGGAAATCTACAACTATACCTACTATTCTTACTGTCGTGTTTGCGGTAGCGTTGGGTAATTCTGGTACCGTGGGGCATTCTGGAATAAATAATGTAATTGTTAGTTTAGCACCACCGCAGAGAGACTAGCATAATATGAGGTATTTTTATTTTAATAATTTGGTTGAGTGCATGGCTCTTTCAAAATCAGGGGAAACCAGGGCACTCAATCTTAACCCTGCGATTAGGAAGGCGATACTACTACCTGACATCAGTGTCGGACTGGGCGCCCACCTGTCCACCTGTCCGTGACAGGTGGGCCTAAGCTCATTAAAAAAAAGTGGGCCTAAGCCTATAAAGAAAAAAGAAAAAAGGAAAGAAAAAAGAAAAGAGAAAGAAAGGAGGGGAGGAATGAAAAGAAAGAAGGAAAGAAGGGAGGAGAGGACAGGACAGGACACAGGACAGGAGAAAGAAAAGATAGGAAAAAAATGACTGACAAACAACACAAAAAGAAGAAAGAAGTGTACTAGAATTCTCAAATTCATCTAATGATTGTGCTCTTGGGTCATTCTGTTATCTAATTGTATCAGGAAATCAAAATTTTGGCTTCTTCTGCTTTAGACTGAAATGCTTGGAAAATGGGTTTGCCGTTGTCAATTTTCAAAATTTTCCTGGAGGGAGACCCCACCCCCTCGGACGCCGAACTCGTGACGCGCCTTCGGTGCGTACTTGTGTGGGCCTTGGTCAATGACCTGACAGGTGGGCCTTCGGTCTACCAGTCCGGCACTGCCTGAGATTACAAATGAGGGATACGGTCCATAACTTTTGCACAGATAATATTATTATGGCTTATGACTTAAGACCACCCAACCAGTTCACACTCTTATATGCTATAGACGTAGTTGCAGTTGAACGGAATTGGACTATGGTCTAGAACGTCATGGTTTTGTAAGTCCAGTTATAAGATAAGTGTACAACCTGACAAAAGTTTGAATTGATAATTAAAAGACGAATATCTCTCAACTCGTGTTACCGCTAGTGTTACTTAAAGATACATTATGGGAGATTAGATAAAGAGCTGACAGTTCTCACTATAATAGTTAAAAACTAAATACTGTAAAGGGGATTTGCTGAAAATTTCAGTCAAATTGATCCACTATGAACCGAGATTTTAGCGATTGAATTTTAGGCCTTGCCTCGATCATCATTAGTAAAGTCGGTACGATAAAAAAACATAGTGTCGATTAACCATGTCATGATTTAATTATGAATGGAAGTCGAACAGCAAATCGGAACCTAATCAAATAAACATCGCAAGCTAGCGATGCCATCGAGAGCTGATTATGGTCTGGATAAGTTAACTAATGTCAAATTAATAATTTAGATAACATTTCAGACCTAAATAAAGACATGCAATAGGCAGATTTAGCTCTTGCATAGTGTATTTTTAATCTAATATGAACAAATCAAGTATATATACGTAGTTAGCAAAACTTGTACTAAAGGGCGTAGCCGTACGAGATAGGGGGCTTGGGGGGTGGGGTTTGGCGTAGGGTGTTGGGGGCTGCAGCTGTAGTCATTTTTGCGATCATTTTTCGGGCATTGACAAAGTAATGAAACAAATGAAATTTTTGTGGATATAAAAGGAACAATATTAAAATTATTCAATCCCGCAAAATGAAGTGCTCGGAATCCGGGACTTTTACTGACAGTTGGCTGAGGTGATGCAATTCCCAACTGAATTTCAGATTTTCAGAAAATCGCACAATTCTAATTTTGATTCTGGGTGTCTCGTTTTCAAATTCAAACTGCAGTTCCAGATAATTCGCTCCGCTAGAAGCGCTTTCTGCTATTTTTCCGAGATTCTACTACGGCTATATAGTGATCGGGGTATCTGGTAGAGTTAGTTAGGTTCATTTTTCGGGCGCTGCCGCCGTATTTTTTTTGGTCAAAAAGGACACCCCCTACCCCAAGGAAGTACGCCTATGGTAAAGAGCGTAACATTTGCAGCTTTAGACTTTCTAATTATACAATCGCTGCGATCGACTCTTGATTTGATATTGCTTCAAACCAGTAAATAAATAAAAAAAACTCACGTTTGTGACATTGAAAAGTTGAAGTAGACCACTGCTGATTTGATTCACAGATAATGACAGGAGAACCATCTGGAACAGTTTCAGGAGCACAGGAATAGGTGGCATTACTGCCAATAAATAAATCAGCATAAACAACAGTCGCATCTGATTTAGCTGGTGGCACAGGACATACTGTAATGATATTTGAGATAGGTCTGGTATGTGAAATCTACTGAAGTAATTAAGTTATCATGTTTTTTATTCTATTAATTGTAAACTCTCTGTTAATACTTTATCTTTCGGGATTATTTGCAAAAATTTTAGATTTTGATATGTTTGTTAATTTGAATTATAGTATATTTTACCTGGATCGCATTGAAATTGAACAGGGGACCATGTTTGGTCGGGCTGGCAGACTACAGTTGGAATTCCCACAATAGCATACCCAGTAATACAAATGTATGTTTCTTCTGCTCCGATTATACGTGATGTGCCTGTTGGTGTTGCATTTGGTAACGGTTGTGATACGGGACATTCTGAAAATTTTTAGTAAACTAATAAATCAAAGATCTCATTTACTTTGCTATAATACTCGGCCCAGTAATTCCCTTTATTTTCATGAGTGCCATTTATTTTCCGTTTTTATTATTTCTGGAAAAAAATGTAACATTCGGGAACAGTATATTATACAACAGCATGTCTAAAATGTCTGACTCTAGCTCTAACCCTGTTACTGTTGGCTATTTTGAAAACTGAAAACCAGGACAAAAGACCATGTTTCTATTTTTCTCGAGTTGTCAAATGTTCGCGTATTTGTGAGGCTTTTCACAGATTACGTCTCTTTTATACCATAGTTTTACAATTAATCGTAAAGGTTTCCAAAGGTTTCCAAAGGCCCAAAGGTGTTTAATTGACGTTACTGCGTTTGTACGAAACATATGTTACAAGAATAAACCAAACTTACGTTTCAGACATTCAAATTGCTCTGATGACCATGTCTGATTTGTTTGACATGTGACAGTTGAAGTACCGCTCAACAGCCTATCATGTGTACACGTATACGTTGCTATACTACCAATAAAGTTAGCATGCGATGTCCTTACTACAGTGAAATCTATTTCCTTTGGTGGTGGACATACTGAAATATAACATTCCATTAAAAATAATATTTATTTATCACTCACAATGCGAGTTTACTAAACGATAACTATCGCCCAATACAACCAAACACATCCATATCAGACTATTCGGTTTGATTTAATATTAAATCTGAACATAAGGGGCGAGGGCTAAAGGACTATTCCAATATCTCGACTACGGAAACCAGCGGGGTCAGTGGGTGGAAGATTTCAAAACTCAACTTTTTATTCACATTAAGTTAGACATCTCAGAGTAAATAGGATAATTTTAAATTTCCCAAAACATTAATTTTAATTTCAATTATTGATTGGATGACTCCTAGAAATGGATGCCCGAGGCAACAGATCCATCTGTCCCCGAATCTGCACACAACCGGATGGGATTTCCTAACGTTTCAGTTTAAATGTAAGTGTTGACAAACTAATCCTACGACGGACCAATTCAGGTATCAAAGGGCGTAAATATTACATCTACTAATACTTCGTTCTTTGCTGTAATTCGAAAATAAAAAATTGATACCGCGATATATCCCATCCATTGTCAACATACTCACCTAATTTGCATTCAAAGTTAATATCAGTCCACTGTTCATTGGTTTGACATGTTAAAAGTGGTGTACCGTCAGCAACATATTCACCATCACAAGTATAATTTACAATAGTACCCACAATTCTTACTTTACTTCCTTGAGTAGCATGGGCTATGTTTGGTACAAGGGGACATTCTGAAAATAAAGATGGCGGATGTGCAATAACAAATTGTTATTTTAAAATTGATGAGAAGTAAATCTCTTTGGATTACACATAGTTCTTCTAAATCCGTGGGTAAGGATGGATCGATGCCTCTACGCTCGAGTTGTTCTATATATCACTGGTCGTACTCATCCCTGGACACAATTAACCAAGATAAATATTTTGTGTTTCCATGAACTTTAAGTATTTTCTTACAATTTGCAGGGATATTTACATTTACACATAATTGGTATAAATATAATTAGCTATACATACATAGCTAGTGCGCTCTACATTTATGCATGGGTTTACTGGGGAGAAGAAATAATACATAATTTTCTGCAATCTCAATCAATCTAGGAAATGCGCGAACAAAAAACTAATTTTTTAGGCGTTTCAGTGACCTTCAATTTGTGACTAGATAGTAAGTGAGAGGAATTACTTACGTCTGTGACATTTAAAAGTTGAACTAGACCACTGCTGATTTGATTGACAAGTAATAACGGGAGAACCATCTGGAACTGTGTCAGGATCACAGGAATAGGTTGCATTATTGCCAATAAATTTAGACCCATCATCATAACTAAAGGTAGCATGGGTTTTAGCACTTGGTACTGGACAAGCTAAAAAGAAAGAAAACAGTCAATATTAATCTTTACTAATTTATTAATTACTCACTATTTTCTCCGGTTTAAGCTATCCGGTTTCAAACTCCGATTAAACATTCAATAAGAAAAAAACGAACGTGGGTATCTTTCTTCTATGCGTACAAAACTTATCAGTACAAGCCTTCTTTGACCATATCAAGCAAAACAACACAAAACTGATCAAAGATAACAGATCTTTTAAACTTACGAAGTCGGCCGCTCAGAAATAACTGAGCAACGGACCGGCAAATGGACGAACAGGAGTTAATCAATACATCTAAACGGTTTTGGTTAATATACATCACCTGGATTGCATTCAAATGGTCTAATTGTCCAATTCTGATTAGTCTCACAAAATATTTCTGGAGTTCCTATCACATCGTGTCCACTAATACACTGATATGTAATTGTTGAACCTACTATCTTCGGTCCGGTATTTGGGGTAGCATTTGGTAAATCCGGAGCTGATGGACAAACTAGATAAACAATATAAAATACAGCTTAAAATATACTTTTACTTCGGGTGTGCATGCCGAAGACTGAGAACATTGTTTGCTACATACATACGTCAGATGTTTGAGGTCAGGCACTTGCGTCAAACAGATCAGTAGTGTCGGTTCGTGTCTAATTGGCTTTAGACGTGTTCCAGCAAATTTATTAATTATAGATTACAAAAATAAAACATAAAATTACCGTACATTAACATTGACAAATTCATAAAGGTGGGCTAAGGCCTGTTATTGGCGTTAATAATGAATAAGGCCATAGATGTGGTTTTCTTACTTTTAAAGCTAATCAATCTTACGTTTCACTTATCTTTGAAGGGGAAGACCAACGATTTTCAACAAGGTTTCCATAAATCTTAAATATATATTGATAAATAATCCCCTCTGTAACACAAGCAAAAAAGTTTTTGTTAGCGAGAAATTAATTTTTATTTAAACCGGAAGTGACATAGTTGGTTCAACACGCTCACTGGGCTCTATAGTAAGCATACAGATTTGACATAACTTTACTTCTGTATTGTGTTCACGCGTCGTCCTTAGGCCAAAAATCTGATCAAATGGGCTGTTTATTAGGATTGTATCATAAACAGGAATTTATGTTTTTTTAACGTTTGGTACACAAAGCCGTCGCGTAAATTCCCTCATACTGAACAGTATGCTGTACATCAAATCACGCCACATGGCTAATTGTTTACATCACGTGGTTTGATTGACTTGCTTAAGTTACAGAGGGGATTATGTATCAATATATATTTAAGATTTATGGAAACCTCGTTGAAAATCGTTGGTCTTCCCCTTTAATGTTAAATTGCGCAGAGTGAGAGAATGCTGTTTTGATTGAGCCGTTTCTGATCTGTAATTGACCGTGCGGTACTAAGCAGTGCTTTCCATGCAATTCAAATGATTTATCACAATTCCCTTTTCATGCTCATAGCTTCAATATAAACTTGTGAATATTCCTCAAAATACAAAGTTTGTAAGAGAATCGTACCTGGTATGCATTGAAAGGTGACAGGTGTCCAATGTCTGTCGGATTGACAAGTTACTTGTGCCGTACCCTCCAATTCGTACGTATCAATACAGCTAAAGGTTTTTATATCACCTATCAGTCGAGAACCTGGGTTCGGAATAGCGAATGGAACTACTGGTTCGTCCAAGGGACATTCTGAAATCAAAATGGAGCTTTATTTACAAGCATACATCGAAATATTCCAAGATTCTCAATTTCAATACTGTTGTGTTTAGTTATGAACCCTTTAACGACAAGTAAAAAAAGCCAATAATAATTATATGTACAAAATCATCATTATTAAATGAAGAATCGCAGATATATTTCCGTGAACAAAGCTGTTCCAGCGAGTAATATATATAATCGAATACTATTGCCTTGTTTTATTACCTACTAGTAAAGCATACAAACGGTATTGAATAGTCACATTTATCAATGATTAGAAAACAGTTTTGGCTATGATTTCAAAAGGGCTCAATATTTTGAGCTGATCTAAATAGGTTATACCTTACACAATTTGGCGCTTGATGACCTGGCGCCTGGTACGTTCGGGCATTTTTATGCGCGAACTCTTAGGGGTTTTTTTTACTGGCATGCGCACAGGTACTATTTCTTTTTCTTTTAACAAGTACCAAAATCGGGGATTTCGTGCGGAGGTAGTTCGGAGGTAAACAGTCTGTGAAGTACAACACTTGCCACTGTACCTGTATATCGCTAATTATAAACCGAATGTGTGAAGACAGTTCATACATATCACTCAAAAATTTTTCAGTACAAACTCAGTTGATTCACGCTCGATTTGCTACTAAACAAACCCATCGGTTTATTTTCTCAACAGTGTGACCCGAAGTGACCGCGGATTTATTGACCTTGTATGAACTTATCCATAGCTATATCCTTACACCGAGAGAAATTATCTAGTCTCGGTGAAAAGAACCATGGTCATCTGGTAGAAAATTACTTTTGTATTTTTTGGAACGGAAAACAGTGTTGTTAGAAGCAAACTAACCTGCCGCACATGAGGAAGTCATTATACTAATAATAAAAGGCGAGACCTCTTTTTGCGGCGCAGGCTTATCACTGAGTAGTAAACCGTCCACAAACAATAATATAGGAAGCCTAGTGACGAGTGTAGTACTGTAAGTAGGCTATAGACTATAGGTTTGAGTCGAGATTACTCGCTTTCAGTTTACTCTGTTTTTGCGATAACCAATTATGTGAGAAATACCATACTGACATTCGGTTTTTAAAAGTTGTACGCCAACTAAATGCGTTTGTTAGATACTGACAGAGCAGCCCCGAGTCGAACAATCGCCGCCCGAGCTGTCTTCGTCAGCTAGTTTCACAATATCGTGCAATAGGTGTATTAATGTGATTTTTAGGTTTAACTCCGCAAACAATGCCAAAATAGTGTT